ATATAGTCCCAGCCACTCAGTAGTTCACCTGACCCACCACTTTTCTGTAAAAATAGAAAGTGCCACTCTAACCACCAGAACACTTGCCCACTGCTGCTTTATGGCTAGTGGGGATGTTGGTAATGGTTGGTTCCGAGGTGGAGAAGGATTCAGGAGGCAGTGTATAAATAACCTGTTGCAAACTCCCCCATTATCAGCGAAGAGACTTGCCAGTTCACTGGTTCACCAGGCAATTAGACAGAAAAAAAAGGCTGTATCTGCCCTAATCCATGCTGTGGATTGATTGATTGATTGATTGATTGATAACAATTCATATGGCTGCCCATCTCCGAACAGTGATTGTGAGCAGCAAACAGAACATTAAAACCAAGAACAACAGAAGAACAAAATTAATTAAAAAAAATAACAATCTGTGTAACACATGCCAGAGTTCTTAAAATAGTCCATTTTACGATGATTAAGAAAACAACTGTCAAAGAAACAAATCACCTATTCTTCTCACCCTCTCCCTTTCTTCCTAATAAATATTCCTAAAGAGAGTTTATAAGAATTCTTGGAAAAGAAGGGAGCGGTGGTTTGGGGTAGTAGTTAAGGTGCTGGCCTAGAAACCAGAAGACAGGTGAGTTCTAGGCCTCCCTTAAGCATGAAGACCAGCTGGGTGACTTTGGGCCAGTCCCTCCCTCTCAGCCCAACCCACCACGTCAGGTTGTTGTGGGGAAAATAGAAGGCAGGAACATTAAGTACATTGTTTTGAGTTGGATGGAATAAAGGCGGTATATCAACCTATTAAATAAATAAATAGAATCTTCTCAGTTTTAGGCAGCTGCCAAAGAGCCTGATAACCCTGAGGTTTCTAGACTTTCTTCAACCCCTCAGTGATTATTTCCTGAGGGAGATCTTTTTTTTTTCCGTACCTTTCCTTTAGGGCTTTTCTATGATATCCAGGAAAACTACATTCGGGTCGAAATGGCCTTCCGTGAAGCTACCAAGCTCCAGAAGGCCCGTCTGGCCAAAGAGAAACCAGCTACTGAGGGTACAGAAGTAGGAGGAAAGAGGGGGCCATCTTTCATGGCCCCTCAGGCACTGGTTGGTGTGGATGAGAGTGGTAAGCTGAATATGGCCCATTAGTGGCAACATGGCACAAATTCTACCAAGTTCTTCAAGGTCAGGGCAAGAGGGAAAGCGTTATATGAAAAAAGATCACTGGCAGAGGATGCTTGTGGAAGAGCCTGTTTTGAGTTGCTTCTCCAAATGTTCTCTAGGTGGGTATCCATTATGACCATGTGTCTACAGGGGAAAACCCAGGTACAGTTAACCTTCCTTTTTGGCCCGTTCTCATGTTCCACTACCCCATTTCCGTTGTTAGCAGAAGATAGTATGTATTATTTTTAGATATGCCCATGGATGCAAATCAGGGGTATGCAAAACATTTTGAGTTTGAACCACTTCAACTTCAAGAGATCCCACTTCAAGTGCAGAACAGCCGTTCTGAAGGCAAAACAATCTGGGTTGGTCATTCTGGAAGTGCTTTGAGCTTGAAATATCTGATGGTCAGACAGCTGTTTCACATTCAAGATGGGGCCCTTTGTGCTTGAAACAGCTTCAGGTTTGGGGCAGTTGAGATTCAACGTCTTTTGTACAACCTTAATGCAGATGTGTAAAATAAGTGAGATTTTTTTACAGCAGGACCAAAGTGTACCCAGACCTTTCTCTGGGATGTTTCAATTCTTGCTCAGCTGCCAAATCTCTGGGCCACAGCATCAGAAAAATTCAGCTATGCTTGCCAAAGTAGCCACATGTTATCCTTTCACCTTTATCCTGGCAATTTTGACTGCTGTGGGCTTTCCATTGTTTCCATAGCAACATCTCTACATTGAAAAACATGGTGCCTTAAGCCCAGCTTAAATTTGGCACTTACAGTGTAAGGTTATGGAACCAGGAGACACAGTTTTGAAACTGACCTCCGCGTTACCCCACCCTGGCATCTCAGACCCTGGGATTAATGTGGGCCCAGCGTAAAGCAATCTGGAAAAACAGAAGAATTGGCAGATGGTGGGAGTCAGCGAAGAGGATGTTACCAAAAGGCAGACATTGTTCCCATGGATCTTGTTGCACCCCATAAAGTAACTCAGAAAGTTAACTAAGCTCCTGGCCAGTGTTAGACTAGTTGTGTGGATGGGGACTTTCTTGCTGAATGTAGGTCTGCTATCCAGTTGGAGGTTGGCCAAATCAGGCTTGGTTTTGTGTTCTCACGTGGGTTGATTTCCTTTTCAGTTCCAGAAGAGACTCCAGAAACTGCAGTGAGAATCCAAGGAGAGTCTCAAGAGCTAGCCACCTCCCTTCGTGTACCAGAAGAGGAAATCATACCTAAAGCGGCTAAGAGATTGTCCGTTACACCCAGTAAATTTAGGATGAGCACTCAGAGAGGTAAGGGCCTTAGGGGATAGCTAGAGAGAGCTTCATACCTTCGTGAGGGCCTCTCTTTTCATCTTTCATTCAGTTTCCACCACCGTTCCACCATCTCACCTCAGTAGCATACATGGGGGAACCTGCCATGCAAGGAGACATGTTGCATGTTGAAGTTCAAGGTGGGGGGAAGATGTCGAGAATGCAGAATTCATCTGTAAAATCTGATGAAGTTATGGCTACCCTCCTAGATAATTTTAAAAGAGGACTGGAGAAATTCATGGCGAATGTGCTGTTGATGGCCAGTAGTCTTGATGGCTGTTTGCTCTTTCTGGAATCAAAGGTGGCAGGCTTTGAATATCAGCTACTGTAGAATATCAGTAGAGAAGGTTTGTTGTAAGAATATCCAGCTAGAGCTTCCTGAATGGATTGAGTTGGCCATTGTCTGGCCCAGAATGCTGGACAAGAAGGGCTGCTCTTTTGTCCTAAGGAGAAAGATGGGAAGGGGAAAGGACAACAGCAGATCAGATCAAATCAAATCTTTATTACGGTCATAGACCAGCATAGACAGCAGTAGAGATGGAGAGGGGGGAGATAAACAACTGCTTTCCCTCCATCTTGCCCTCTCTATCTCTTTCAACCTCTACCAGTGGGAATTTTGCTGGGAGCTGGAATTTCTGAGGGCAGAAATGTCAGTTCCGTCAACAAGCAACAGTCACCTAGCTGCAGAGCTGAATAGCATTGTGCTAATGATCCATTGCGGGAGCCAGTTTGATCTAGTGATTAAAAGTGCTGGACCACAAAGGAAGAAAACCTGAACTCTAGTCCTGCTCTTAGGTGGAGAAGCCAGCTGAGTGACTTTGGGCCAATCTCTCTCAGCCCTAGAAAGGAGCCAGTAGCAAACCACTTCCAAGATGTTGCCAAGAAAATTGCATGGGCTTGTCCATGCCATTGCTAGGAGTCAGGACTGACTCAAAGGCACAAAATCCTCCTCCTCCTCCTCCTCCTCCTATTCATTAAACCATGGGAAAGGTGTGAAAAAGAAACACCATCTACACCTTGTGCTGTCATCCCAGTATGCAGTACAGATTCTTATCTAGCCTTGGGATGTTGAAGGTCTACCTAGCTTGTGCTGAGTTTGAACCAGAGAGCCTCACAACAATCAGAGAAGCTGTGAAAGTGGTCTTGGTGGTCTTCCCATTGCAAATTAGACTCTGACCCTTGTAGGCTATTGCTGCCCATACCCAAGGACCTCTATTTTTTGATTGATTGATTATCTGCCATCAAGCAGGTGTCAATTCTTAGCAACCATATAGATAGACCTTCTCTGGGATGATCTGTCCCTAACGTGACCCTTCAGGTCTCCTAATGGAGCACCTATTATTGCTGTAATCAAGTCCATCTATCTTGCTGCTTAGTTGTTCTGTTCTGTTCTTTTCTTTCCTTCCATCTTTCCCAGCATTCTAGACTCCTGAAGAGCTCAAGAGCATTGGGTAGGCACCTGAATTGTAACCAGTTGCAAATTCTAGAGGAGCCCTCAGTCAGTGCTCCATCTCAGGCTTTTGAAAAGGGCTGCTCTCTGTCACACGCTTAGCAGAATGGCCAGCAGTCATGGGAGTCAGGTGACACACACAGACACGTGCACACACACACAGAGGAAGTTTTCTTTATTTTGCTCCTTTTCAATCTCAGGAAGCCTTCCTCAGTTCCCTTGTGTTTCTTTCTTCAAAAGGACACAGCCACCATTTGACAGTTGCACCACTGAACTTCAGCAGCATAAAAAGGCTCCAGGAAGCAAAACAGAGACAGACTTAGGGGCTCCTGAGGCTTGATTTTTCCAGCATTAGCTAGAAACAAAATTAACTGTTTCTTCTGTATGGCTGGAACTGAGTCTAGAAGTGTCTGGTAGCCAACTTAGCTTTCCCTCATCTTTCCCCTTAGCACTGACTCTTACTTTCTCTAAGGCTTCATTCATGGGCTTTTTAGTAATCAAGGGCTCCCCCACTCCGCTTGTTGCTTCATCCGCTTCTGTATCAATAATAGGACTTTGCACACTTTGAAAAGCAGCAGCTGCATCTTCCTGAAAAATGATGAGGCTGCTTTAAAGAAGTGCTTGTGTTCACATGCTAAAGCACCTCTTCCAAGTCATTTTCAAAGCCTCATAGCCCCAGGATCACCAGGGCGGGGCGGGGGGGGTCAGACTGACAGTAGCGAGCCTTGCAGTGTGTGCTGGAGTCCTGCGCCTTTTT